TCACATAACAAATAAAAGTTAATTATTCAAATGGCCAAAATAGGCAAATACACTCTGCCATTTTTATATGAAATTATAGATTATAGTCTTTAAACATGATTTTTTTCCTCACTGAAAGAAAAATTTCACTTTCACTTAAGCATAGCTGACTGTCAAAACTAAGCATTAGCAAAGTAGTAAAATTTACTGTATCAATTACATAAACCTTTTTTCTGAACACTATCTTTGAAAGTTATAAAGAATAAATAAGTATTTCTAAGCATCACAAATGCAAACAGCAGTACTTCTGGCCCATAAAACTTGGGCTATGAGAGGTACGTCTTATTAAATTTTTTAAAGTTAATTCTACTACAAGCAAGAATACTTGAATTGAGAGTTTAGTCTACAAAGACCTGCACATGGAAAAGCTTGAATGGGGAAGAGTAATTTGAGACATTCTCAACCTAAGGAGAAACTGGAAAAATAAACTATGAAACATGTTTCAATACCTGTATATGGCAGACACTGGAAAACCTGAATGTCAGAATACCGATACACTGGAGACACTGGAAGGCGTAGATATTGAGCCAGGTGACGGAAGACTGGGTAGTCGTAGGAAGACATGAAGACACTGGAAGACATAAAGATGCTGGAAGATGCGGAGATGCTGGAAGACGGGCAGATGCTGGAAGCCCTGGAGATGCTGGAAGCCCTGGAGATGAAGGAAGACATGATTTTTTTTCTGGAAGACATAGGCTGGAAGACATGAATTTAATGGAAGACATAGATATTCTGGAAGATGTGGATTTGGTAGAAGATGTGGATTTTCTGGAAGCTCTGGATTTTCTGGAAGATGTGGATTTTTCCGGGAGCTCTGGGTTTGCTGGAAGACATGGATTTTCTGGAAGCTCTGGATTTGCTGGAAGACGTGGATTTTCTGGAAGATGTGGATTTGCTGGAAGACGTGGATTTGCTGGAAGCTCTGGATTTGCTGGAAGACGTAGATTTTCTGGAAGATGTGGATTTGCTGGGAGACCTGGATTTTCTGGAAGCTCTGGATTTGCTGGAAGTTGTGGATTACAGAAGCTCTGGATTTGCTGGAAGACCTGGATTTGCTGGAGGACATAGATTTTCGAGAAGCTCTGGATTTGATGGAAGACATGGATTTTCAGGAAGACCTGAATTGTCCGGAAGACCTGGATTGTTTGGAAGACATGAATATGCTGGAAGACTTGGAGTTTCCTGGAAGACATGAATTTTCTGGAAGACATTGATCTTCAGGAAGACATATCTTGGCTGGAAGACTTGGAGGTTATTGGAAGACAGGAACTTTCTGGAAGACATGGATAGTGTGGAAGACCTGGATTTAGTGGAAGACAGATTGTTGGAAGACTTGAATTGGTGGAAGACATAGATTTACTGGAAGACCTGGATTTTTCTGCAAGATGTGGATTGACTGGAAGACCTAGATTGACTGGAAGTTGTGGATTTGGTGGAAGACACTGATTTTTCTGGAAGACATCGACTGTCTGGAAGACCTAGATTTCTTCCTGGAAGACCTGGGATTTTTCTGGAAGACATGGATTGATTGAAAGACTTCGATTTTATAGAAGACACAGATTTTCTGGAAGACCTAGATTGTCTGGAAGACCTTGAAACCACTGGAAGACATGGATTTTCCAGGAAGACGTGGATTTTCCTGAAGACATGGATTTTTTTGGAAGACTGGATTTTTTGGAAAACTTGGAGGTTGTTGGAAGCCATGGACTGTCTGGAAGACATAAATTTTCTGGAAGATCAGGATTGTCTGGAAGATACTGGGGTGGTTGGACGACTTGCAGTTGCTGGAAGACCTGGAGATGTTGGAAGACCTTGACACTGGCACCACTGGAAGCCCTAGATATTGGAAACATCATAAGGACAGGATGATGCAGACTCTGGAAGTCTTGAGTTTGAAGACACTGATTATTCTGAACATTGTAGACTTTGGAGGCCCTGAATATTGGAATATTGGACATTGGAAGCCATATACTAAAATTCTTAGATGTTAGACACATTGCAAATCTTGTACTTTGGAATCCCTAAACAATAGTAGATATGTGCAATGAAGGACCTAGGCATTTACAAGTCAAATTAAGAAACCCCACATATTGAGAGACAGTGAAAACCCTGGGTATTGATATATTCCTGTCAAAAATATGCACATAAATTAGAATAAATTTAAATGCTGCTGGAAACACTGGAGATTAGGAGAACTAGTTGTTAGGTCATTCGGAGGTTGGTTAGAGTAGAACACTTGAATATTAGAAAAGAGTTCCTGGGGTCACTGAAAGAATTAGTCATGGCAATAACTGGCAATAAAAAAAGATATTTTAAGGGACAAAAAAAAATGTAAGTGGTAGATGATATGGAGAAAGCTCATGAATGTAGGAAAAGGACTTATAGGGAGCAGGGAGGTTGACATGGGTGAGAGGGAGATAAACACTAGGGTTAAGAGTAATCAGAATGCAGTATATGCATGTACGAAATTGTCAAAGTATAAATTTGGTTCTTAAAAGTCATTGCAAAAATCAAGATTTAGAATACATTAATAGATATGGGAACTGAACAATGCACTAGAAGATACTGGGAAAGTTATAATTGGATCCTATGAAATCAGTGGTCTCTAGACGCACTGCAAATGGAAAATATTGAATGACTGGGACCATGGAAGATCAGAAATTTTGAACTCTGATCTGTGAAAGAGAGAACATGACCTTAAGCAGTGCTGTAAATCTGGAAAGACTCTGACTTTTCATATGTCTAATGTATTAGAGAGATTAGAAAATAGAAGTACTGGAGATGTTTCAGGCCAGAGATTAGAAAACAAAGATATTCTAAGATGAGGAAGATTTGGTCACCGAGGGTATTGTGAGTCAGTATAGATCAGAATACTTGAGAAACAGATTGTAATGACTATAGCATCTCTTCTTCCACTTTGAAAAGCAAAACACAGGGCAAGAAAATTTTATCAAGACAACAAAGAGGAAACACAAGTGAAACAAGTAGTCTGAATGTGCTAGAACCTAAGTCTCAATGCATGGCCTTTTTGGCATTTATGAGTTGGTAAGATGAATTCTGGCAAAATGAAAATGAAGAATTTTCAAAAACATGCAGCACCATGTGTGTGAGGAGTGTATATCCAGTTAGTTTGGATTTGACACAAAGTCTTTAGTTTGTCCCGCCCAGCTCTAGATGCCAAATCTAGAGTATAGTAAACTTAAGTATATTCAAGACTAGCTAGCATTCACATGACATGCAAGAGTATGGATACAGCATATTGAAGCCCAGTGGTACATGAAGATACCCTGTGACATGCTCATACCCAGGAGACAGGGCTGGCAAGAATGTAAAGACAAACTTTAGATCTTTAAGGAATTGTTTAAGTGCCCTTATATTCAGGGCCAAAATTCAATTGGCTGAACTCATGCTCCAAATCAAGGAGGATAAGGGTCAGAGAAGATGCCCTCATTTAGTAAGTTAGATGCTTACATAGAAAATTAGAGAAGATGCCCTAGGTTAGTAAATAAGATGCTTACATAGAGAATGAGAGAAGAAATCTACCTTTAAGACTGAGGATACATGGAGCTGGAGAATAAGGAGATTATGGTTTGGTAGGCTCATCCAGCAGAACTTATGAAACAAGCATAAGGGATCGGAGCTATAGCCTGAAGTGTCTTATTATTTGAAAAGGGTTTGGGAAGACAAGGGCTGTCACATATATGCAAGACAATAGACAAAATTGGTAAGATGCACCGGGAATGGCCTATGACTTAAAAATCAATCAGTGGGATATATAGACAATGGGAAGTCGGTGAAGACTTTTTTAACAATGAAGTATGTGAACCATAATCATACACAAGGATAATTAGTTATACAGAGATGTTAAGTACCAAAGACTAGTGTATACTAGATACAAGTATACAAGTTAATATACAAGCTAAAACAGAGGGTTGGGATGTAAAACTACTGCAGTAAAACTAATAGATGGTAGTGGGAATTGAACTGAGGCAGTGAAAGATCTATACTTTGGAAAACCTAGTAGCAGAGTCATGATGATTACCCACTTTCTGAATTAATACCACTACTTAAAAATCCTTGCATTCCCTAACATACATGTGAAATATCAAGAGGTTCAGAAGTCAGTTCTGAGGAATCTTCCTTATCTAACAAAAATATTTAAGACTTGCACAATTCTTTCAAAAGAAGCTGAGTTTTGGAGTTAAAACTTAGTGAAGAAATGAAGTATGTTCTGTATTCCCTATATCAGAGTGCCTTAATTATATTTACAGCAAAACCAAGTGGGTGGACTATTTTCAAGAGAACAGGAGTTCATTCGTGTCATAGACATTACCTCTAATCAACATGTAAATAAACATCATGCGGTAGTAATCACATCATAAATAGAGCATAAAAGAATCACTGCAGGTCAAGGAATTACTTATGAATAATGGAATTATAGCTTCAAGTGTCCCTCACAGCAAACAAGGAAAAACTTTAAAGCACAGTTCTTATTCCTGCTTTTCAAAGCAGCATGTATACCTTACTTTGAAAGAAACTCAATATTAAAACTCTGCCAAGAAAAGTATAAATTATGTTACCTAATGCATATTTATGTTATAATAATAATAATAGCAATGATTTATTGAGTGCTTACTATGTGCCAGGCACTGTACTAATTATCTCATATAATCTCCAATTGCCCCCCAATAATGCAGGCATTTTCACCCTGTTTTACAGATTAGAAAATGAACTATAACGAACTATGCAGCATTAGTATTGCCCACAGTCACACAGCTGGTTCTGTGTGACGAAATTTGAAAACACGTCTAACTCCAAGGCCTATGTTCTGTGTTGGCTTCTGACACCTCATTAAAGTGCCAGGACTAAGTACCACTAACCCAAAGATGGGGAATCCCCAACTCAGAGCAGACAAAAAGCTGATGTCCAAAACCTCCCTCCAAATCCTTTGTGATTCTCATTGTGATACTCATTCCACTGTCAAGTTGTCAAGTACCAAGTCAATGCTGGGTGGAGGGCCAATGCAAGAGGAAGTACATTGTTTCAAACACACTAGATTACCAATTTCTCCCTATGAGATACTCATGCTAATGAAATATTTATTCACTCATCTATTTGCTTCATTTTATATTTCACCAAAATATATGCCTTCTCTTTACAGCATATATTTCACAATACTGACATAAAAGACCATCGAAAGATAAGAATCCTATGCAAAGTTTACTGACAGCTGTATTTTGTGTCATAGACATTGTTCACATAATGTTCGGAATGAACACCCTGTTGAGCCCTTTATTCACATTCAGATGGTGGCAGATACATGACCCAAGTGTGTAATGCTTTCTCTCCATTTTGAACTTTAAAAGATCTTAAACGGTCTTTTCAAATCGACTGCCAGCTTTTTAATCTATTCTCTCCATTTCAGCAGCCTGAGGGCCATTTCTTTCTACCTTCCTTTTTTATTTTTGTTCGTTTTGCCACATTGGTAAAATATGCCTATAAAGAAGGAAATTTCCATCTGTGTGCTTTACATGGAGCTCATGAACTTACCCAAAACCAATTTGATGAGAGAAACTGTGTATTAAAGCTACTAAAATAAATGGCAAGGATGAGGGGAAGGTTCAGTGGATAACAGTACTTGCAATGCAAGCATGAGGAGCTGAGTTTGAATCCCCAGAATCCACATTAAAAAAGTCAGGCAGTAACCCTAGTGTTGGGCAGTGGGGTAGAAAAAGGATGATAGGTGGGGCTTGCTGGTTGCTATCATAGCTCCAGATTCAGTGAGAGACCCTGCCAAGGGAATAAGGTAGAGATTAATAGAGCAGGACATTCAATGTCCTCCTCTGGCCTCCACAGGGATACTTTCAGGATTATTTTAACTGGATATTTTCTTAAACAAGAATTAATTTAGGTCATCACTTTATTTTAAATGATCTGAACCCTACATAAATGTTTCCTTCTATTGATCTAAAGTCCATATAATCCAACAATTAAAATGATACAATGGCTAATTTTTTCATTTTATTCTTTTATTTGAGCTCCTACTTGATGAAATTCAATTTAAATTCTCTCAATTCCATCTGATGTCTCTAATTCTGATCAGATTCAGAACAGCAGCCAAGGTAACATCAACGAGTGAGAATGAAATCATCACTGGGAATGTTCATTCTTTAAAGGCATATGGAACTACTGATTATACTGACAAAAGATCATTGACTTAAGAATATTAACCATATTGATGTTTGCATTTAGACTTACCAAAAGAACAGATATCAATGGTTATAATCAGATATCAACAGATAGAAATGGTAAGAAAGTATTATATACAATATGTATATGTGTTAGTCCACCCAAACCCTGTAATCCAGGTAAGAATTAAAGTAGCAGTTCTCCCTGAAGAAGAAACATGCGGGAAGTGTTTTTTAACAAGTAGATGCCATGTTTTCTTTTTATTGTATGTCAACTACACCTAACTTGCTTTTAGTGGAGGGACTAAAATGTAGAGAGCTTGAGTCACAAGCACATTTCTTACAAGGCTGAGGATTGAACCCAGGGCCTTTCACTTGCCAGACAAGGGTTCTATCACTAAGCTACATGACCAGTCTAGACAATCACAATGTTTAATACATTACTGCTTACCCTGGCTTCTGTGGAAGAACTAAGGTAATCACAAAGTCAACCAAAGAGGTTAATGTATCTTTCTCTCAGTGTAACTGTGGCAGAGTCAGAAGGACCTTGGGGACTCTGTGATCCTGTCCTCTCAGTTAGCAGCTGTGGAAACCAGGGAGTGACTTGAATAAGATCATCTATTGAACTAATGGCAAACGTATGCTGAATCGTGCTTTCCTTTGTCCCCAGGGCCCACTACCACTTGTCTTCTATTTTCTGTTTTGTGTTTAGCATCAAAACAGCAGTATGTATCTAGAACTATATATGGAATCACTTGAGTTGCTTTACAAATATATAGGTACTGACCCACTATTGATTCAGCAAGTCTGAGGATAGATAGGTTCCAGAAATTCACATTCTTCAAAGTTGTCCTTTATGACTCTGAGGTGAGGTACAGTCAATGTGAAGAACTTCTGTGATTAGAGTCAAGGTGCATTCTTGTCTAGCACTGTGATATTACTAGGTCCACAGCACTCACCCAGCTTTCAACCCTTATCTGCTTCTTCTGAGCTTTCTGAGAACATGGGTCATCTCAATCACAAATATGTGAGCAAGGCCTTTTATTCTTTTTTTCTCCTTTTCCTGATATTTCACTTCATGTTCAGCCTATCATTCATACCTCTATACTGGAGGAAAGTTACTGGATTACCTCATTTCTGATCTAAGCCAGGATAAACTCAGTTTAATCTCTGGTATGATTTTCTACACTGTGGCTCAAAGGCAGCATTCACGTCATTACTGTACATAAATGCCAGCATTCTGGGTTGTCTTTACACATTTAAGCTACGTGGAGTTCCCTTTCTGGCAATTTCATATCAGAGATCTTTCTTTCTTTCTCTAGTCATGTATTTTGCACATAATTTTTGCATGCATTCGGGGTGCTAGTGCTAAAACGTTGGCCCAAGTAGCACTGAAGACAAAAGACACAACAGTGTTATTCAGGTTTCCTGTCTATTCCCCAGAAAAACAAAACCTAGTTCAACACAGACATCAGGTGAGAACGTATACAAGTAACTAAAAGATCAAGTAGCCTTGCCTTATGTCTGTGCCAAAAAAAGGCAAATAATGTCTGAGCATCTTACCTCTAGCCTTGTGATTTTGTCCCCTTTGTTAAATCTGCACAGGAAATTTCAAGCACCCGTAATTCAAACAATTTAAAAACAATTGGGTCAAATAAATGAGACTATGAAGAGAATTAAATACTCCAACTAGGAATGAATTGTCCACCACCTTCAGGGACTAGGAAGTATCAGCATTCCTTTTCTGGTGAATATTCAGTAGCTCAACACACTGACAAGGCTAAATATGAGAGCAGAAAAGAACTATGGAAATGAACTTAATTCTTTCTCCTTGATTAAACAGCAATATAAATCCAGGAATTCATCCTGTGTGCTTCGCCTCACAGGATCAGCAAATACATACAACTGCTGCACAAGAAATGAACTTAGAGCAAACTAGTCCCTTCTGGAAAGATAGCAAGTTAGACATAATCAAAATATCAGAATTAAAATAAATTTCAGGATCAAGAGGACAAAATCAAATTGTCAATGCAATGCAGGGATACTAGCTTCTTACCGAACTCCCTAGGTGCTAGAGAGTCCATGAAATCCACATAACACCCATGTTGGAGGAATTTAGGTCCTTTTTAGAGGGGATCTGAGACAGAGAAAGGAGCATTGTCAAAGTCAAAGGCAATAGGTTTGTTAATGGAAATAAAACACTAAGTGCATCTCAAAGATATTTTATCAATTTTACATTAGTGATCATGGTTACTTGGCAATTACTTTCTATTTCTCTCTGACCTCATAAGGAGAATGATAGTACACCAACGAAAATATTGCTATGACAGGTACTGATAGGAAAAACAGAGAATATCTGAGTTTGTCTTCAGAGATGTAATCTTTGTCTTCTCCACACTCTTCCCTCAGCAAATGGATCACCAACCCCTTCATCATAATGATCAGAAGAGAGTCTGAATGCCAAATATCAACTGTCTGTAGAACACATCTGAAAGACAGCATGAATGGTCCAGATTTCTTCTCCCCTGTTCAGTAGGCAGAGAAAAAAAAAAACAACAACTTACTGACCTTTATTTGATGAGTTCTCATTCCTGCTATGGAGACTTGTATATCATCATATAAGCCTTGCCTGAAGGTCAATATGCATTCTATTGAATGATCTCTTCCTTCTGAACCATCATGATCTTTTGATTTGCAGAGTACACACTTTTAATATTGAGTTTTAGATGCTGACCTAAGGTACTTTCTTTTTATCACTTGGTGTGATCTCATCTGTAAAATATTTCTCAACTATCTTCTCAGGGTGAGACTCTAACAGTCCAGCAGCATCACTTAACTCAGTCTCTTCACACTTTATGACTCAGATGGTTTGCCTTCATTATATTTTCAATTACTTCTATGACTAGAAGAAGACATTAAGAATTGCTAACAACCTCACTCCCAAGTTTCTGCCAGATTCCACTAAGGGTTGTTTATTTCTCGCACTTATTCCACTATTACTGAGGCATTTCAAATGGAAACTATTTGCCAAGCTTCATTCTCAGAAGTGAATACAGTACACCATGAAGAATTTGCACACTCCCAGATGTGATGTGGAGATTGAAGGTGTAAACCTGTCCTGGGGATAATGGGGATGACTTGAACACAACGACCAGCATACACTCTTGTATTTTTATTGATAGAGACAATATCACAAATAAACAATGCTTTCAATATCATTTTCATTTAAGTGTTGTTTAACCTCAAGAAGAAAACCCATCAGATAGCAGTTCATGAAGAGTTGCTCATTAATATTTATTTTATGGTTTTCATTCATGTAAACATAGAAGAGTTAATGGTATTCTATTTTAAGAGAGCAAGGATTTTGAACTTTTTGAAGTAGCCTGAGTTGAATAAGGACATGACCAGAAGCACCCCAATCAAGCAGAACTCTGACCTTATATTTCCCAGTCTACAAGTCACTGGTCTTTGTCTTGCCCTGTGTACTAGATACGCAAGTTGGGGTATACTTCTAAAATAGGACCCTCTGTCCTGCATAGAGCCCAATTATCATCTTCTCCATCAACCTTAGCACAAGGATACTCTGCAATAATTTCGTGATCTCCTTCCTCCGTCACTTTTTTTCATACAGTGTATAATGTTCCTTAAGCTTATTCAACCATTTATTACTTGTAAAGAATATTTTATATTTTTATCCACATAGAATGGTAAATTTAAATTTGGGGATGTTTACTAGTAGATTTTTCATACAGAAGATGGTTATTCAAGGACTGGACAGATGACTCAGTGGTTAAGAGCACTGGCTGATCTTGCAGAGGACTGGGGTGCCCAGCACTAACAAGGCAGCTAGAAATCATCTCTAACTTCAGTTTTAGGGGATCCAACATCCTCTTCTGGCCTCCATGGGCATTGCACACACAGGTGCACTTATATACATGCAGGCAAAATACCCATAGACATAAAATACAAAATAAATGAAAAAATTAAAGAGACCACTTCAACCTCTCTTTTAGACCTTACACAAGAAAATCAATTTCTATTTTCTATGTTTTAGCATTTCATGTTATATATGATTTTCCCAGTGATGTTGATCTGTCCTTCAAGGCACTGAGCCTAACAGTACTCATTTTTCTTTATTGCAAATTAGAGCTCCATAAACACACACACACACACCCCATATAGAATTCTTGCTTTTAGAAACATTATCCAACCTTTCAAAACCCTCCCTTTTCTGTTCTAAGCTTTCCTGTCCCTTTAGCTGTTCTTGCATCCTGAAATCCACCCATTTTGAGTTAGTTGCTCGGCGGCCGTTTTCATCCTAACTCAGGCAAATGTACAGCGATTTAAAGTTTCATTATTAGTGAGAGGTAAATTATATTAATTTGCTATACTTGAAAACCAAATGATAAAATTCCTGAGACACATAAAAATGGGCTAAACAGTGTTTGCCTGACAATACATGCACATGAGCAACAGCTGCAGAAGGGAACAGGCAGAAGCACAGGCAGAGGGCAGAAACAATTAACTCAAACAAGTGACTCAGATGTACTTTCTTTTTGCATGAGCTAGTCAGGAGGCAACATGATGGTGACTTAAATTTGCATAACGTTTGTTTCAAACATTACAAGTCACAGACAAGGTAAACTCAAAATGTTTCAGGAGAATGACTTGCAGTTGTGAAGGGATCAGAGAATCCTCCGGGAGGGAGTCAAGGTCAGTCTTCCAGCATTGGGTAAGAATCACAAATACCACCATCTAGGAGAAACCAGACACAAAAATAGGCCAGAAAGACAGAATGGGGTACTCTGAATGAATAAATTACAAGGAACTGATGAGGATATTTAAAATAATCACATATGCCAAATCACCTTTGTAAAGACTGGACCAATCACACACTTAATAGCAGTGAACAAGAGTGCTTTTCTCCTGTGTGCTGATTAACATGACACATTATCAACATCTGTGACTTGCACAATTTAGGTGAATAAGGAGATATTTCACTTTTAATTTTCTTTTCGTTAATCATCTGTGCAATATGCTGAGTATCTCCCATTACCCAGTGCACTAATTTTATTTTCTTTGAGGAAAACATGATTATAGGCCAGAAATCTCTCTTTAGGTAAGCATTCTCAAACTGGTGAGATATAAGATGACTTCCAGAGAACCTTGAACTTCATTAATAAACCCATATGCTTGCCTGAACTGGGGATGTAGCTCAGAGGGAAGAGAGAATGATTTTCTAAGATGCACAAAGCCCTGCATTTGATCTCTAGCACTGCATAAACACCAGACATGGTAGTACATGCCTGTAATCCTAGATCTTGAAAGGTATGGAGGCAGGAAGATAAGAAGCTCAAGGTTATCCTCAGCAACACAGAAAATTCAAGGTCAGCCTAGGATACATGAGACCCCACATCAAGGAAAGAAATGAATGGAGATAGGGAGGAAGACAGGGAGGGAGAGAGGGAGGGAAAGAGGGATGGAGGGAGGAGGGTGAGAGGGAGGATAGAAAAGAAAAAAATCCTGTATGCATGCTCAGTGATACACCCCCCAGTGTCATAACTGCTGACAACAGCTATGATGATGACTTAAGAGGACCATAAAAGGCACAGAAAGAATCCCTGGAAAATCTGTCATTCCCAGAAAAGACAGGCTAATAAAGGAGAGAAATGATCTTATCTGTCACCCTCACTGCTGTGAGTGGGGTGTGGGTATATGTGCATGGAGGCTAGAGGCTGACACCTGACATCCTCTATTGCTTTCCACCTTACCTTTTGAGACAGACTCTCCCACCCTCTACTGGTAGCCACCTTGTTTACTGAGGTAGAATCCTCTACTCTTAAATGTTTTCCACCTTAGTTTTTGAGACAGATTTTCTCACTGAACCCAGGGTTCACTGATTTGGCTAGACTGACTGGCCAGCAATCCCCCAGGCCTCTCCGTCTCCATCTCCCCAACTTTTAAGTTACAGGCATAATGTCATGTCACACCCTTCTTTTTTTGTGAGTGCTGTGAATCCAAATCCAAGTCTTCATACTTGTAGAGCAAGCCCATTACCTACTGCTCCAGCCTCAGAAATCTCTTAATGGGTCTCCTCCTCGCTACTAAGAGTGATTCTGCTAGCCTCAAAGCTTCAAGGTGGCCAAGGTGGGCAATTAGTTTATCCTTCCATTTCTCAGATGCTTAGTGAACTTGGCGAAAGAAGTATTTCTAAAATAAATAATTATTAAACATTTTGGTGATTGAACTTTTGTTCTTTTCCAGTCTATATTCTCAAGCTTTATCAACTGAGTATCAGTATCAAATTCTCAGTTTTCTGATCTTCTATGAATAAATCATTAACATTTTTTATTAATTAAATAATACTAATGGTTTGGGAAGACTTGGAGACATTCGGACATGAGTTGGTTATTAGATACGATTAAGTAATCACTGCTGACTCTATGGGGTACAGTAGTAAAACTATGGTAATAAAGGAAAATAGCCATTGCTTCAAGGAACACTGGGAAAAATGCGCATCTTAGCGTGATTTTAAAAAATATTCTATTTATCATTTTTATTTTTAATTTATGTGCATAAGTCTTTCTACAGGTATGTAAGTGCACTCGTGTTATGCAATGCCACGTAGTTCAGAGGAGGGCATCAGATCTCCTGGAACTCAAGTTACAGATGGTTGTTACCCACCATGTGTGTGTTGAGAATTGAACCCAGGTCCACTGCAAGAGCAGCCATTGCACTTCAATGCTGATCCATCTCTCCAGGCCCCAGTAATTTATTTTATGAAAAATATTGTAAAGTCCATGAGGTTGGTAGGCAGGCATTCACTGCCTGATATTTCCTCTAAGGTTTGAAAATTCTCATAAAAATGTGCATACATGAAATAACAATTTTATGTTTCTTAAGTTACATTTTTGGCACTATAACATATCAGTGGTTTCTTGGGTTAAATGCAAGATGAAGAACTATAATCAAAGACCTGATCCTTGAACAGATATCACTTTTAAAAATATATTCCACACACTAATCAAAGTGCTAATGCCAAAGGAGTTTGCAGCATGGATGACGGCATAGCTCACTCGCTCGTTCAGCTTGTAGAGGTTCTATCCCCAGCCCTCTATCTGTATCTATGAATATACCAAAGGCACAAGATTCAATTCCTAAACCTTCTCTTTACTAATTTTACCAGAAACCAGATTACTTGAACCACATAAAAACTCAACTTCATAACACTGATAACAACTGTATTGTATGTCATATAACACATGGAGATTTATTTTTAAAAATATAGCAGAGTATTAGGACCATAAAAACTGGTAACTCTTGAAAAGTGGAATGATTCTTGTATGCTCAACTATACCACTGGATGAGACTGAATTCAACCAGTTTTCAAATGAGAGAATATACATTTACTCAGCACAAGTTTCACTTTGGGCCATAGTTTCATCTTATGTTCTCTGTTCTTGCTAAAGAAGTATCAGATCTGTAAGATTCTGGAGCTGCTAGCATGTAGACTGAGCCTTTGAAATAAACTTCTTACGTCTCATATTTCTGTACTGAACGCTATACTATGAAGAGTCCTGAAGTATTTAAGATGCTAACAAACAATAGTGTGATCAAGTACACTTGTTCTCAATGGTTTTTCTCCAAGTACATTTATCTACAAGGTTGAGAGCTTAATGTCATGCTTGGGAGACCCGGAATCCCTGGAGTACTCAGGAAGGAAGTGAGAAAGCAAGCTTGACTAGTTGATCCCTCCTGTCAGGACTTAGCGCTCAGAAGGGCAGGAGAATAGCAGGATGTTTTTTCCTCCCAACATTTCAACAAGGAACAAGGACTACTTTTTAAATGGCACACCCTGTGAGGATTTGCATGGACAAATAGGATTGCATTAATTGTAGTTTCTGTACTGAAAAGACATTGGGTTTTAAGGGATTTGCTTTTATATAACTACTCAGCTCTCACTTTCCCCTTTCAAAAATCTTAAATCTCTACAAACATTTAATTGGTGGGCTTAAAAACCATAGGCCCTCATGAATCATTTAACATTTTAAACTATAATACCCCGAAATGCTATCCAACAGCGAGGCTCCCCAAGGAATCTTATTCTTCTCAAAACTGATGATGTATTCAGAGTGGATATACTACTAATAATAAAGATGTCATTCAGCCCACTTTTAAGAACCAGAGCAACCTTTATAAATCATAGGTCTAATCTAGTACTTCATCCACTTTAAAACAGCTCTCCGAGTACCCATGGACTACTGGGTAAAGGCCAGCTCTCCCTCTATGATGGTTCCTGCCCAGTCTCTGAAGCTCATCTTTTACTCACTCTTCCTTTGTCTTGTATAATCAACATATCACCCAGTGACAACATGATTTCAGTTATCCAGGTTTCCGTAACCTTTAGCATTTAGGTTAGTCAATAACCAACCTCATCAAGGAAGCTAGACTAAAACAGGAACCATCTAAAAAATATATGTGGACAACTTTATTTTGTTTGACTGGAAATTTGTGTGTGTGTGTGTGTGTTTGGTGTCGTGTTTGTGTGTCCCAGAAAGCCAGAAGAAAGCACAGGACTCCCAGGAGCTGGAGTTAAGTTACAGACAGTTGTGAGCCTCCTGATACAGGTGCTGAGAACTGAACTCAGATCCTCTACAAGAGCAGGGAATGATCTTCACCTGCTGATCAACTGCTTTAGTAAAAAGGTAAAAATAAATTGCTGGGAGAGTGGTGGCTCACACCTGTAATCCCAGTGCTTAGGAGGCAGAAGGCAGCAGGATTGCCACAAATTCTATGCCAGTTTGGTCTGCATAGCAACTTCCCGGCCCCCCAGGTCTACAAGAGATACAGCCTTTAAAAAGAGTAAAATGTAAAAATAATAGAATCTGATAAACAGTGTCCTTGAAGAAGCAACAGACGACATGACTGGTCCTGCCTGGCTCTCCAAACCCATCTCATTCTATCTTCCTGTTCAATCTGCCCTGTTCCACGGGAAGTTAATGGCATTATCAATAAATGGTACTCTAGGAACGACCAATGATGCTTCTGGCTCAGCAGGACCATTATACTTGCTATTCCCTCTGCCTGTAAGTACTTCTCCCTCACATAAATGTATCCATCCACATGAGTTCAGTGAATCAGGCCTTTGTACAAAGGCTCCTTCTGCTCAGAAAAGTCTTGCCTAAATGCATCCCCTAAAATTTCACATCCCTATCTCTAATACTTTTAGTCTGTTTTGGTTTTCCTCAAAGTGGTTATCAATGCAATTTAATGATTTTTTAAAATTCTTTCACTCAGATATTATAAGCTACATGAGGGCAGAAATGCTGCATGTCTGCTCTCTCTTCTAGAAGTGTACTGGAGATGTAGGGGATTTGACACAGTGTTATCACTTAATATTTATTCTGGAAAGGAACAAGAAAGCCTAACAACAAAGCCTAATGCCTCCCATTGTCTCACTGAACTGTTCCAGAAAATTCTTCCTTTACCACTGAGGAAGCCTCATGCTGACAGGTAAAAAAACAACAAAAAAAGTAGGGATGCTGAAGCTACCTGTAAGCACGTTCCCTAGCAACTGTTTCTGCTTCTTCCTGGTTCCCTGTTCTTGTCTCCATTTGAGAGATTTCAGCTTCCACAACTTGAAGAATATCTTCTCTGCGGAGGCCCCTGGCCTCATGCCACATGGCCACTGTCCAACAAACACTGACCTTAAACGCAACAGGTATGAACAGCACACAATAGTACCATCTGTTCCT